TTAAAGTGTCGTTCTCTGTTTTTAACATCTATTACATCCTGTCAACTATTCACTCTGCCTTTCCTTTTCTTTGCAGAGTAAACATGACGAGCGCTACGTCCCCAATCTTGCTAAAATGGGACCCCAAGAGTCTGGAGATTCGCACACTGACGGTGGAGAGGTTGTTGGAGCCGCTGGTCACACAGGTAAAGTCTTGCTGGATTTACGCTTCTTATTTGTGGGTCTGCTTGCTTGAGGCTACAGGTGAACAGGGTAAAAGAAATATAGTTGTACTAATAGTTATCAGGATGCTTTCCCAGTTGACAAATAAATTTGATAAATTGATGTTATTTTGCATTAAAAGTCTAACATGTTATATACATATTAATTTAAAGCATTACCTAATATAAAAGGAACTAATTTGCATATGTTTCTACCACAAATTTTTTACTTTTGAACACTGGATGAAGTCGAGAATAAAATGATACATTTAGAATAAATTAGGTTGTGATATCAGGTGACCAAAATTCAATGTCTAGCCAGCATCTAAGGACAATGTTATTTTGAAGTCCAATAATGATATCAAATGACGTTGATATTTGGTTGTTTTTAGGTTGCGTTGGAAAATGACCAAAATCCAACGCTAAGCCAACATCTTTAACCAACGTCATATTAACGTTAAATACTGGCATTTATTTGTCACGTTTGACTACCAAAATCCAATGCCTGATAGACGTCATATTAGTAATGTCTACACAAAGTCAAGCTGTAACATCATTAGATGGTAATATTTGGTTGATTTTAGGTTGGACATTGATGTCGGCTTTATGTTCGGTTCTGACATTACGTTGGGGTACACCATCAATCTGACCTCTTGTTGACGTCCTGTGCCTGCTCCGATGAATGAACAAATCCCACTTCAAAATAATTATTGCAAAAGAAACACTTGGAAACAAGTGGATTTTGGGTTTTATTTTATAATTATTATAATATTTGCATTATACTGAAAATGAAACACTTTGTGAAAAGCTAAAAGGCCCCCAAAAATTGACTTACCCCCCCAAAATTGCACATTTTCCAGCAGTTTCTCGACTCAGAATACAAACTCCTTTAACAATGGGTTTTGTTCATCTTAGTCTTGTGATATATGTTTGTGTTGAATTCATATTAGGTCAACCAAAATGCTGTTTTGAATATGTGCAATTGATATCTGTTGATTGTCAAGTTGTTAATCTCAAAAATGCAATCAGTTCACTTAGTTATCTACGTAATATACCTGTTTGTCACTCGGTAACACACAGTACACTGAAAAAAATGATTCATTGGATTTACTTAATTTTTTTAAAGCAAGCTGTTGCAAATAATTGAATTGGGTTAAGTTTAAGCAAACAATTTTAGTTGGATTTACTCAATTTATATGTGTTGGATTTAAACAATCAAATTAGGTTGGATTTACTCAATTTATATGTGTTGGATTTAAACAATCAAATTAGGTTGGATTTACTCAATTTATGTGTTGGATTTAAACAATCAAAATAAGTTGGATTTAATCAATTTTATTTAGTTACATTTATCTAATGAAATTCATTTAGTTCACTATAATTTAATTATGTTATTCCTACTTATATCTATTTATTTTTGATGTCTAAAATGATCATTAAATTGCTTGCAAATACACTTTGAAATGACACTTGACCACATTTGTTTTGAATTCATTTTAATGACTTTTTAAGATGCATTTTTTTTAACAAAACCTAAATCACTGCCTAAAAATGCTTTAGCAGCACACCATAACACAATAAACAGTTTGTACAGCACATTTAATTTAAACCAACACATAAAAGAAACTGTATGAAGTCTTGGAGCAAACGGCAATCCTTATGACACACACACACACACACCCCAATACACAAAATAATCAACTAATTAACTTTAAAAAATGACTCATTAACATATTGAGCAACTACAAGTTGTATGAAATGGAATAAATACAAAGTTTATAGAATGCACATGTTCTCTCTCTCTCTCTCTCACACATACACACACACACACGCACACCATTTAAAACAAGTTCCTACAGCTAATTAATTTTGCACACAAAGAAAACTGAATTCACTTATTAAACAATTCCTACACTAAACTGCAATTTATATATGATATACATTTTGGTTGTTGAGCATTTATTAACACTTCAATGCTTAAAATTACAGTATCACACTGTTTTCCAGTATGAGAACCTTTGAGGAGAGCTTGTCAGAGTTCATTTGCACAAGTACTTTTTGGGCAAACTCGTAATAGTATTTGAGTTCTTTTGGGTAGGCCAAATCAAGCACATAAATTGCCCCCAACATCAGTGCACAGGCTTGTGCAACAGATTTTATCTGTTCAATAATCACTGTTCCATCCACAACGATGCCAATGTCCTCATAATCTCCTCTTTCCTTTTTGATGACACATATGGCCATGGCGGTGTTTGTCAGGTCCTTCAAAAATTCTTCTTTTTGATTGTCCTATATTTAAATAAAAAGAAACCATTATTAGACATTGTTTTTGAAACATATTTTGTAAAAAGTCAGAAGAAATCAAATGTAAATAAAACCAAAACCTTAACGGCCCTCCCCAAACCCACATTGATACCTGTGAAATATTAAAACAATCATTTATGATTGCATATTGGCGTATATATATTTGTGCATGATCTGCAAGTACGACTTCTTCACAATTATTTACAGGGTTTATTCAGGTTTTCTCAGGGTAAATTTAAGATCTTTTAAGACTAACTAAAAATAATTTTGGAAAAAATAATTGAAAGGCAAACAATACAGTAATATGTTGAAAACTAAATATAATGTCAAGGAAGCATTATTACATTATTATTTAAATAATATTACCCAAGGTTTAAGGCTTGAAAACCACAGATTTGGCCACTTGAATGTGAAAATACCTTCTGATCAGACCCACTGTATATCAATATACCCGGTCACAATTGTTCACCTTAACCCTTCTGTATTATTTAAATTTACTACCCTTTCCTTATGTTAGTTGCTGTTTTTTTGCCCCATTGACTTCCATTAAAACATTTTTTGGATGCAAATCCATGACAGCATGTAATCACGCATTGTTGCTGGTTATCTTCCCTTTTTGGTAAATGTATATTTTGTCATTTTTACTGTTGATGATCAGTTGACAGCATAACCATTTAGATAGTCCTGTGCAAAAAAGTTTCTGGCTTTTATATTTTTTGAGTTCTTTGGAGTATAAACAGTAAATGATAGTGTGTGTGTGTGTGTGTGTGTGTGTGTGTGTATGTGTGCATAAATACACTTACTATGTTTACTGTATGTCTGAAAAAATGTAAATAAGCAACTTTCAAAACAATGTGTGCAAAAGTCTCACTTTCATGAGCTCAAACAAAGAAATCTGTCTCCAAATTAATATTCTCAACAGCACACAAGGCTTAAGAATAATTGTGCACAAGTAAAATAAACATCAGCGAATGAAATTCAGTAGAAATGTCACACCTTGATGCAAAATTTAAGACCTCTCAAATTTAAGACTTTTTATGACCTTAAATTGTAAAAATCTAATTTAATACTTAAGACTTTTCAAAGACCCACAGGACCTCTGCAAATAATAAAAAAAAAAGTACAATGATAATAAAACAAATTTAATTGGACAAATTAATAGACATGTATATTTATTTAATTAGTATTTTTACGTGTCATTAATTAAACCAAAATAATTTAAATATATTAAGTATATTTTAAATGTATAAGTAAATATACAAATTTAAAACTTGAATTCATACTTTAAAACGTCATACTTTAAAACGTCATGTTTCATTATTAGATTAAACATTTTTGAAGAATTATTCAGCAATACATTTTTGATTGTTAGTACGGCCACCCATTGACCTAAAAATGTAATACATGTCAAGTTGCTTTTAAACAGTAATTTTAACCTTAACATAAACATAAATTTTCTCTTTTTTGGAAAAAAGTGGTTTACTTGTAATTCTGTGACTATTTGTTTGTAATTTAGAAATAATAATACTGTTTAGAAAGACTAAAACAGGGGTGTCCAAACTCCTTCTTGGAGGGCCAGTGTTCTGTCGATTTTAGCTCATCCTTGCAGGTGTGTTGAGGCAAGATAGTTTCTAGATCACCTAGTAAGAGCTTGATTAGCTAGCATAGGTGTGTCTAATTGGACTTGGAATTGCAATTGGAACTAAACTTAGCAGGACACAGGCCCTCCAGAACCAAGCTTGGACACCCCTGGACTAAACAATGAATATCTCCGGGGTCAAACACAGATCTGAACCCAATGCTGAGAACGTCAAAGGATTAAGAAACATATGCAACTTTTAATCATTTAGTATTTTTAGGCATACTAATATTAGGCACATATTGTGATTTTCAAAAAGTATTACATCGCTTTGTAAATGTTTATTATTACCATTTGTTGAGTCTCCCAATACTATTTGATATAGTCAAGCGATGTGATGTCACACTCAACAAGCTGATAGTTTTCTCACGGTTCAATAACAGTGTGTATTACCATTACAATGCAAGAGTTTGAGGCAAAAGATAATAGGTTGCTCTTACGCGTGTAGTGACCAATGGCATTTTTTTTTTCTTCATGTACAAATATATGGAAATAGAAAGCATTTAAAAAAAGAAAAAAGCCATTGACATATACAGTGAAAACACTATTTTTAAATTCTTTAAAATTATAAATTTTGTTTTTGAGATATTAAAATATTTTGTTCATTGTTCTATTCATACTTTTGCATTGAATTAGTATGCAACTTACTTGCACGAATCTAGCAAGTGTTTGTGCAGCGCAATGTGATTTGAATAGACCATAATGTGTTCAACATTAGGTTCACCTATTAATTCAAATATGGCACTCAAAAAAGTTTCTGTTTGTCTCATTGGCCACTGTAACCCCACCCTCAGCCTCTGAACAAAGCAGTTCTTTCTTATAGCCCAGGTGCAAGCACTAGTACTATGATGCACTCACCATGTATTCTTTCACCAGGCATGCCTCATCCTCACCAAGGTAAGTAAAGAGAGCTTGAAGAATAGACGCTCTTTTGACATGGACATTGGTTGTCTGTAAATAATACAAATTTGATTAGTTAAATACATAAATGACAAATTGGAAAACGTTAAGAAATGTATTAGATTAGATTAAACTTTATTGTCATTACACATGTACAAGTACAATGCAACGAAAATCAGTTTAGGTCTAACCAGCAGTGCAATAGCAGCAAGTGCAGTATACAGGTATAAGTTATAAAGTGCAGATATAGAAAAACTTATTATATAGTGATATTTATATATACATAGTATAGTAAATATATAGATATTTACTATATACACTTATATAGTGATATTTACAGATGGATGTACTATCAACATTATATACAGGTTGTATTAGCTATGAACAGAAATTTAAAATAAATTATTATATGTACAGGTTGCTATTAATAATCAGAAGTGTACAGGTAGATAAACAATTACAAGTGTACAGTATATGTATAGTTCAAATGAATGAATCAGTCTAATGTAGTGCAATGAATGTGTAATTTTTAAATGTGCAAATGTTAAATAGTGCAATGATAATGAGGAGTACAAGTTATGAGGACAGTGGGGGTGTATTAGGAGGGCAAAATAATTAGTGGGGGATAGAGTTGAAAAAGGGACAGCTCTGAGGAAAGTGCTGTTCCTTAAGGCTGATTTATACTTCTGCGTCAAACGCACGCCAATGCTACGGTGCTGACGCATAGCCCTTCGCCGTGGCCGTCGCTGACATGCACCTCTCAAAAAATGTAACTACACATCGCAACGACACGTAGCGCAAGCTCTGTGATTGGTCGGCTTGGTAGTGGCCAAGTGGACAGATGATGTATCTCCTCCCTGTAGGCCGTCTCATCATTATTGCTGATTAGACCAATCACTGTGGTGTCATCTGCAAATTTGATGATGATGTTGGATCTATTCACAGGCCTACAGTTGATAGTAAAAAAGAAGTAGAGGAAGAGGCTCAGTACACAGCCCTGTGGTACACCAGGGTTGAGTGTGAAGATGGTGGAGCAGATGTGGCCTGATCTAACATTCTGAGGTCTTTTAGACAGAAAGTCCATAATCCAGTTGCAGAGAGACGTGTCGATATCCAGGTCTCTAAGTTTATTCATTAACTAATGCCGAGTTCAGACTGCATGATTTTGAAAGTAGTCGTTGCTGCTTTATTTTCACTGCAAGATGGATCGGCGACAGGGACTTGAACACTGCATGACTTTACAATTGGAAGAATCGCCGATAACTTCGTCTAAACTACGTCTCACAACCCAAAAACCATCTGTTTGACCAGGCCGTGGATTAATGCTAATATTGCAAATAATGTTAAATTTCTTACACAGACCAATCGTTTCACTTTACAGGACCTTCATCAGGAGCCATGGCTTTAGATTTGGACTTTATTCTTAAACTGAAAAACCCATCCTCATTCGCTGCCATTATTTGGATCACCATGTACCACAGATTCAGCTAAAAATCATCAGTAGTGTTATATTAACATTAAGTTAAATAAATATTAATTTATTTTCTTCTCAGCTTAATCCCTTTATTAATCTGGTGTCGCCACAGCGAAATGAACCGCCAACTGATCCAGCATGTTTTACACAGCGGATGCCCTTCCAGCTGCAAACCATCACTTGGAAACATCCATACACTTTCATTTACACACACACACTACGACAATTTAACTTACCCAATTCCCCTATAGCGCATGTCTTTGGACTTGTGGGGGAAACCGGAGCACCCGGAGGAAACCCATGCGAACGCGGGGAGATCATGTAGACTCCACACAGAAATGCCAACTGATCCAGTCGAGAATCAAACTAGCGACCTTCTTGCTGTGAGGTGAGAGCGCTTCCCACTGCGCCACCTGTTAAATAAATATATTTTTAAAAATAAAAATTAATAACTGAAACCAGCTCAAATGTTATCGATTATTTGTCATATGCCATGTCCCGAATAAAACACGTTACCGTAATGCACAACTGTTAGTCATTTGAGACTCCTTTATTACAGCACTCCCACAAGTTTCTCTCTTGCTTTCACAAATAAAATTAAACATATTTAATGTATATCCATTATTAATAGCCTATCTAAGTTTTGCCCAGCTAGCGAAACCTGCAGGTAAAGGTAGCCTATAAGCATATTTTTTTCAGTGCATGCATTGACTGCATCGTCAAATACATAGAATATAAGTATGTTTGTGGCATGACAAGCATGGACATGAGCATTATTCAGAACATAGCCTATATATTTATTTTTAAAATGTTATATTTAGAAATTAAAACTATATTAAATTTCAACTTGCAGTAATAATCTAAACATTAAACTTTGCCTCGATGTTGTGCACTTAATATCCTTTAACACACCTAAATCTGATGATTGTCCCTTACATGTATATTACATTTATAATGATACTCAAATTTATTTAATCAACTGACTGTTTACTTGTGAATAGTTTGTTTAGTTACACTATATTAAAAGTGATTTCTTTTTTCGACTACCTTGTAATTTAACATGTTCAGCCAAGATAAAGACATGTAAAGGCTGATTTATACTTCTGCGTCAAATGCACGTGTATGGTCCGACGCAGCCTGCGCGCAGTTGAATAGCCCTTGCCGTGGCGCATCTCTCCAAAAATGTAACTACACATCGCAACAACACGTAGCGCACGTTCTATTAGTGGGCTTGGTAGCGCTTGCGTGTGTGGGCGGGGTTGAGAGCCACGCCAACCCATTGGAGCGAGTGTTTACAAGTGTAGAGTCCCATGAAATAGCTCCAGGTGGAAACTGTTGCTTTGTGTTTACCTTATGATTAAAGTTGTTGCATGACCGCCAGCTACCGCCTCAGAATGAGCGAGTTTTATCCGCTTGTTCATTAAGGTAGTGTTCAGAAAAAACAAAACCCAAGCGAAGAAACTCCATACAGAGGGAACATATAAACCTACTGCTTTTGTAAGTGTTATTGTAGAACAACACAAACAGCGCGCACAAGTATAAGTGCTCAGCTGCACGCAGGGCATGCGCAGTAGGTCACGCCAATCACTCAACGAAGAAGTACAAACCAGGCTTAAGGCCGAATTTCTATTGTGCAATTTTGAGCCAAATTCTGATGCGACTCTTCTTTGAATCAAATTAAATTTCAACTTTGATATTTGCTGTGCTGTGTTGATGCAATGTACAGGAGGAAAAAAAGGTGAATAACCTCTCTTGGTCGGCAGATAGTCGAATCATTTTATGGCAGGTCAGACATTTTTTTCGGCTCTCTTGAGAGAATCACGGAGTTGAATCAAAGTTGAACTCTGTGTTTGTGCTCTTACTGCACCCTAGTACTGTGAAAACTAGGGAAGCAACAATAACATTTACTTATTCTTTACTTGTCACAAACCTGTTTGAGTTTCTTTGTTCTGATAAACACAACATAAGATAATTTGAAAAATGATGAAAACCGGTAACCATTGACTTCCATAATATGTTTTTCCTACTATGAATGTCAATGATTACTGGTTTCTAACACTCTTTAAAATATTTTGTCTTGTGTTCAACAGATAAAAGAAACTCAAAGGTTTGGAACCATGGAAACATGGTGAGTGAATAGTGAGTAAATTTCCTTTTTTGGGACTATTTAGATTTTTCAGAGCAACATATTCAGTTAAGAAACTGTTTACTGTAATGTGTAGTGATAAATGTTTTGCAGTTACTTACCATAAAAATGTTGATGGAAAATTCCAACTGCAGTACTGGACAGAAAATGTGTTTAAACCCCTGACCAAGGAACTCAGCAAAGGAAACTTGTTGTACAGTACCTCAAATGAAAGGAAGCACATGATTATCATTTAGGTTCAAAATTCAGCACAAGTTACAATATGACCAACTTCTTAATCAACATATTGTTTACCGATTAATTATATTAGGCAACATACATTTAGATAAATTACTTATTGAACAAATTGCTGAACGTGATTAATATGATTAAGATAATCGTCACTGCCTGATTGATACGATATAAAGTGGGTCTCAGACCAGTCAAAGCACTGCATTAAATTCCATTCTTCAACGCCATGTCTTAAAAATGTCAATTTATTTTAACCACAATATTTTATATGAAGTTTTAGCACTCGTCTGCATGTGTTTTACGTTTGAACAACTAAATGATTGCTTCAGCTTATTTAAAGGATATTATTTTAATTAAATTACATTATCGTTGATGTAAAAGGCACTTTATGAATATGGAAAGTCACATTAAGTTAACCCCTGCGCTGGACGTTTATCGGTGGCTGATAAACACTTGCTGTGAATATAAGTTAGCCTATTAAGTGCATTATAACCCCAAAGACATAATTACAGCATCTCACGTAAAAAAATAAAGAACTATAAATGGACGCCCTTTACGTTAAAAGTTAATGTTACGCCAGTATGGGCACACATTCGACAACCTCCTAAGACAGTCAGTAGTGCCCTAACGCTAGACCAAATCGTTCTATAACAAAATCAGTATGTTACTGTCCGTTCACAACTATCTAAACGCATGCTTAATGTTAACCACAGTAAAAGCCACGGTAAATTCACAAAGGACTGAGCTAACGTTAGCAACGAAGCTTTTTTCGTTTGGAATGGCGGATCACGGACACTGTCGTCACATCAAAGAAAATGCTTATTCTCTTGAAAATAGCCATTTACTTCATTAAAAAACATTATATATCAAGTCTACATAACTACATTCTTGCTAAAAAGAATATTTAATATATTCTGCGACATAAAAACGAGATTTGTCAAACCGTGTGTAACGTTAACTGTTAGCTTAACTTGCGAGCGCGCTCGAAGGCTGGTCGCTGTCAAATTTAAAAACGACCAAAATAGACAGTCCGAACGAGAGACCATTTTATGCGTTTATGTTACCCACAAAGTTTTCTTTAATAAACAGTCTGGTACAATATAAAATGTGACTTACTGTGCAAATGGATGTACAGAAATCCGGCTCTGGCGTCTTGCTTCCATCTGACTGGATTCTGTAAACCTTCCTTTGGGCTTTGGCGCCGAGGCAACGGAACATAACGCGCATGCGCACAAAGCTAACATAATTTTTTCTAATAGACTTTAATTAATTAATTTAGATTGGTTCAAAACACATCTAATTCACTTAAACCCGATTAATAATAATTTAATAAAATCAACAACTAAATTAAATTGTTTAAAATAAACTAAATTGAATTATGTTTAATTTAATAGAGGCCTAAATCATTTTTTTCAGTGTATGGTCCAGTGCTTCCCACACATAGAGTTTACTTAACTGGGTATATTAACGGCCACCCAAGTATATTTAGTGACCCTTTAGTGACACTATTATTACCATCCTTTTACACTATTTTGTATCCACCTAATATAACCAAACATCCGAGATCGATTAAGTAGTGGAAAATCTTTTCTCTTTTAGCCGTTTCAAGCTGCTGGTTCTGTGCGTGAGAATTCTTAACACTCTTACAGACTGAGACCCGCACCTTTTTGCTTCCGGTCAGCATTTCTAAATCTACTAAAATGTTCGGGATTTGCTTTTGCTTTCGTTTTCGATGATTTTATGCATGTAGTCATGAGAGAGACATTAAATAATTATTTTTGAAATTTAAACGACTCAGAAAACATTTACTAATACTTAGAGAGGACGAAATTACATCTAAATTTTATTCATTTTTTTCTGTCATTTATTTCTCATTTGCTGCATATTTTGATAATTTAATGATGTCAATATATTACATATTTTATACATTTAAAATGCTTTGGCAATATTGTAAAAATTGTGTTAAAAAATGAAAATATGTTTTCTTTGTCACATGTTGTTAACTAATAATGTACTACTACCACAGCAAGTGTATTTCAAACCTGTGGGAAGCACTGTTGTCTATTATCAAAATTGTGTATTGAGCTTCACTAATGAAATATGTAGCAGCCAAAGTCTATACTTTATCGATAATTGCCATGAGGACGTTAATGAGTGTTTGTTTCACCTGGTAAAGTTTTTTGATGTCTAGCATTGGGTTTTTGAAGTTGCTTTTGTACTGGCCGATTACTGGACAGTGTAAGTGAAACAGGCCCTATCAGAGTTGTCTTTTGGCAATTTTGTGATTGTATGTGTACATTGTTTTGTCTTGAATTCCAGAGATTAAAGTTGTTATTTAGGCTTTAATTGCTGAGATTTTTGAGATTATAGTGTATATTGTACACCATGTATTCGGATTCACCATCCCCCTGAAGTACGTCAAAATAAGAAGTATTAGGGGTCAGCCCTTTATAGTGAGAAATAGTTTGCTCTGATCTTTATCTTAAATGATAATAATAATGATTATAATAAAAGATTATATTAATATACAGTTGACCACCACTATAAGGGTTCATACCACTGTCAATGCATAGTTGCGCCAAATAATCTATGCAAAAAAAAAAAAAAAAAAACATTTAACAGTCTGAAACCGGCAGATCTACTTTTGCTTTTGTAACATTGTTGTTTGTTTCTACGTACAGCCTAAAGGTAAAGTCAAATTGAAGTCCCTACTTCTTTCTTTCTTTCTTTTCCACATATTAATAATAATAGTAAATTAATCAAAACACACCAGGGACTATGGGAATTATGCAGTGACTAAAATAAGAATTCTATTTGCAAATCACTTGTATTCAAAGTCCACTTTTGGTCTATATTTTACTCAAAAAAATTGTCAAATGTGTCTAAAATTTTATTGGTTGTACAGTCTCACAAAGATAGTTTTTTAATAGATTATTTTTAATACTGAGATTCAGCAAGGGTGAATGTCAAGATCATTACAGTCTAATCAAGGATGTATTACAGATCAAGGCTGACTGAAATGTCATATTGCATATCTACTTTAATTAAAGGTTGTGCTTTTACAGGATTCTGATTCAAATAAACGGTGAGCATCAAAGTGTCTCAATAATAATGATAATAATAATAATAATAATAATAATAAAAATAAATCTTGTCAATCCCAAACATTTGAACTTTTCAAATCAAGCAGAGCTCAGTATTCTCTAGAGGAAACTTACATTTTCCATCAAACAGTATGTTCTGTGTTCTGCGGAATTATGTGTCTTTAAACCACTGTTTCATGGCCTTTATGTCTTTCTCCGGGAATTAGTAGTCTGAATCAAGTGTTGGATCGTATCAAACAAAAGCACATCTGCCCATAAAACCCGCCATTAAAAAGAGACCAGGAGCAGTTTTCACTTCACAACATTAATTTAGGGCTGAGTGCGGATGTCGGCCATGACCTCTCTATACGTTACATTAGTCTCTATCAGAGGCGCTTCCCTCCTGCTGCTTCCACGAGAGAAAATGGGAAATGTGACTTTTAGGGTCATGGACATGTTGTAAAGTTTTGCGATTAAGAGCTATATGCTGTAATAACATTGTGACTGTAAACACAGTTGCCAGTTTGTAGTTTGTATTGACAAATGCCATAATTATTATTAAAAAAATTATTAAGAAAAGTCATTGAATTTTGACATGGCATTTTTCAGGCCTGGAAAAGTTTTGGAAAAAAGGAAAAACCCACAAAGTTTTGGAAAATTCATAGAAAACAGATATCTGTATACTTAAATATAGGTTATTTCTGTATTCCCACATTATTAGTGCGGTGTAAGCATTATTTGAATCAATTTTACATAGATATAAATCTAAATAGATTGTTGTGTGTACAATATGCTGTAATAAATTTAAACATACATTGTTTTTCGTTTTACCATGCATATGTAAACATTGCATGAAACATTAGGTCATGAAAATTTACTTGAAAGTCTTGAAAATCATGGAAAAGTCATTGAATTTTAGTAGTAAAAATGTGTATGAACCCTAATTATAATATATGATTTCCCCGCCATAAACTTGTCTGTTTGTTTTTTTTTTTTTCTATATTCACTAATAGAAGCTTTGATCTGATGAAGATGTACCTGGCGGTCTTACAGAGATGCCATTTACCAAGCATAGTTCCAGTTGTCTGGATCAAAATAGCCTGAAGCTGAATTTTCAAAGCTAGGGAAAATGTTGAGGTGTATGAGGCCAACAGTCGGTGATTTGATTTGATTATTATGTGAACTGGCGGCTTTGATCTTGAGCAGGACAGTTTTCTGGCATTATCCTAAGGGTTTCTGAATGTTTTGAGATATTTTCATAATCAAAAATGTCATTTTCTAAAACTAATTGTGTTATATTAAATGCATAGAGGAACATTTATAATAAAAGATATAGTAATCAACTACATGAACAAACATATGAGATATTTAAACTCTGAAAATGTAATCATTTCAAACTTTACTTGTGTAAAATGTAAAAAAACACGCTAAAACATATTTTTGATTTTTGCCTTACACACTGTAAATAACTATTAAAAAAGAGATTAAACTCATCGCCCTATAATTATTGGGCAAACAAACTATTTTCATAATTATAAAAGTTAACTCAATTGGTTTACGGTTTTTAAAAAAAATAAAATCAACTTATTGTTTTAAAGGCAACGGGTTTACTCACTTTTAAAGTAAAGTAACTAATTGCTTTTTACAGTAGAGCCAAATTGATGTTTAAAATAAAACAGGATTTGATTTTTAAATGAACTTTAATATATTGTTATTATGCTGATAATCTTGTACAATAGTAATATTGTAACTTAAGGAGTCAGAGGTACAATAGAGGCGAGAGTCCAAATTCAGTTATTTACAACTTGGTCAGACAGGCAATGGTCAAAACAGGAGCAAATGGTATTATGGGCATAATCTAAAAGCATAGTCGTGGTCACAGGCAAAGAGGTCGGTTCAGGTGGCAAAGAGCATAAAGAATTAAACAAGGCAACAATCAAAAGGCACGGCAAAGCTTGAAAGAAATAAGGCTTGGTAATATTACAGGTAAACAAGACTCAGCAATGTGTGTGTGAGAGTAAGGTGTATTTATAGCCCTGGTAGTGAGTCTTCACAAGCTTTATCTGTGTTTTCAGTCAAGGTGAGAACTGTAATTAGTGTGTGGGGGGTGCATGGCAGGATTTGTAGTTCAGTGGCAGATTTGTAGTTCCCCAGAAATCTGCAACTGCTAGATTGCTGATGATCGTGACAAATGTTTTTCTGTCAGATTTATTTTCAAGTTTAATAAATGAGAACAATAATGATCCATGCATTAACTGATATCAAATAAAAGTATCATTTTCTTGAATTTTAGCATCTGAGCACAATCACAGATGTGATATAAATTTTATGTGATCAGAAATAGTTTGACAAACAAGAAATTAATATTGAGAAGGTACATTTTTTAGACACAATATTGTCTGTTTCTTTCTGTTTCCCCAATGAAGGTTTTTTTTGCTTATCAGAGAAACACTACTGTTTAAATACTGAATTAGTCTGTTTTTGAAGACCATTTGAGTCAATGATTCAATTATCTATTTTTTTAAAGACAGCCACTTGCTTTGTTTCCTGATGAATCAGTGGTTTTGCATGAATCAATTGAATCAACTATTCCATTACAAAACCAAATCTAAATTTTGGTTGTTAGTAGAAAAAGCTAGAAAGATATTGAGATTTTTTTGGGGGGTCAATATCACACAACCCCTACAGTCTGTCAGACTACAATGACGAATGACTTCCATATTTTAAGTTTTTTTGACAAATGAAAAGTTTTTTCAGCCATTGCTCTTGCAATATGTTGTACAGGAAGGAAGTAATTGCTCAGAACATAAGACGCAGACCATGGAAGAGAGAGTTTGATTTCAGATAAACAAGCGTAGAAAAAAACAAAAAAACATTTGCTCTCTGGGTGAGAGACTGATTGATATGGCCAATTTACAGCTTTTGTGGAGTTTAGCTCTTAGCTTTCATCTCTCGACCCTTGGCATACGCTCACTTTCTCTCCCTCATTGTCTCCATCTCTCTCTCACTCTCCTCAGCACAGTCTGACAACTCCCCAAAGTTGTTCGCCTCAGCTTTCTCATTGTTCAGCCACATAATGGAGGCACACGGCATAAAGAATCATGGGAATGCTAATGGATTCTTAACACATTGTTAATACTTTATTTGGAATCGGGCTGGAAAGCTGCCTGATAAAAAAAAAAAAAAAAAAAAGAAGGAAGCTTTGGTTCTTCTGTTATGATCTCAGGAGGATCGGTGGATATAAACCAACTTGCACTGTTATATGAGCAAATAA